TGGGAGGTTTGAATCTGATTGTAAGTACCATATTTTTGGACTATAAGACACACCAGTGTATAAGACGCACCAAGATTTCAAAGAGGAAAGTAAGAAAAAAAGGTTTTTGTCCTTCCCGGCCCCCAGGAGCACTCTGCAGGCTTCAGCAGTGCTGGGGAAAGGCAAAAATGCCCCCCATTTTTTGCAAAAAAAACGGGGGCATTTTTGACTTTCCCCAGCCCTACTGAAGCCTGCAGAGTGCTCCTGGGGGCCGGGAAGGACAAAAACCTTTTTTTCTTACTTTCCTCTTTGAAATCTTGGTGCGTCTTATACACTGGTGTGTCTTATAGTCCAAAAATATGGTACTTACAATCAGATTCAAACCTCCCATGGCTGTGTCCACCCTAGAATGGGACAACTTGCCACAGCAACTCACTCTGGCCCCCTTATCACAGCCAACCCACTGCAGGACAATTTATCAATCCAATTTAATTGTTTAAAATAAATTTAATAAATTGATTTAATTATTGTCGTTCAGATTTCATTTTGTCTCTCTTTTTGTATCCTTTTCTTTAATGATTCTATTCCATCATTTCTTGGATAGCAGTGTAACTCTTGTCCTCCAAGGAGTTGTCCCGCAGTGAGCTGGCCATGGCAAGTTGCCCGTGGCGAGTTGACCATGACCTCAGACAATTGTCATAGACCCTGTACACCCAACCCCCCCCTGGGTCACATGACCAGTTTTGGTGCTTGGCAACCAGCTAGCATTTGCAGCTGTTTGCAGCACTCGTGGTCATGTGACTGCAATTTACGATGCTTTTGCTGGAAATCAGCATTTGCCATGGTTGAGAAACACTGTTCTAGGATAGTGCTCTGTTTTTTTCAGCATCCCCTCCTGTCTTTTCATTGAAGATAACTTTCTAGCCAAAACCTATAGTGTGACAGTCATTAATAACCCCCTCCTTAACCTTGAGGGAGATGGGCGGCTCAAAACTGTGAAAAATAAATAAATACAGGTAGTCCTCGACTTACGATCACAATTGAGCCCAAAGTTTCCGTTGTTAAGCGAGACATTAGCTGAGTGAGTTTTGGCCCATTTTACGACCAAGGTCGCAAAAAGTAATCACATGATCCTGGGACACAGCAACCGTCATAAACATGAGCCAAGCATCTGAATTTTGATCACATGAGCATCGGGATGTGTTAAGGTAATGATGATTGAATAGCTGACCAGCCGCTGTAAAGCTGTAAACTGAGATGATGAAATGAGAATGACTCAGCAGGGTTATTGCCACTTTAAGAGGCTGTCTATATAAGAGAGGCCATGTGAGGGCAGTTTTTCTCTGTGTATGTGCTTCCGTGTTATAGTTGAAGACTGATTGATGGCCTGATTTTGCCTAGTATGTAGGTACGTACACACACACACACACACACACACACACACACACAAACATATATGCCTTGTAGATAAACTACTGTTTGAAAGACAAAACCTCTGTGTACTGTATTTTGCTCCTGGGTTGTTTCAAAATAGTAGTCACACTGTGCACCCCCTGACAGGATGCTGCAAAGGTCGTAACTGTGAAAAATGGTCATAAGTCCCTTTTTTTCAGGGCCACTGTAACTTTGAACAGTCACTAAACAAATTGTTGCAAGTCAAGGACTGCCTGTAAAATAACAACCCAAGTTAGCTAATTATAATTTGAAGGGTCTCTAAACAAATGGTCATATGTCAAGGACTCTCTGTACTACGGAAGATTAGTTACGACACTGCATTCATATTAAGTATGGAGATAGTAAAGCATTAGAAATTGGCAGGCCTATTAATATAAGAACGTTAGTTTATGAGGCCTTGTACACAGGAGAGTTAAAAAGAATAAAACATTGCTTGGACTTGCTATGACACCGAGGGATTCCTAGCGAGGCGGCCAAGATGTGCCAAAGTATCCAACTCACCTTCCTTCTTGTCCTGAGGACTGTGTACGCCGCCTGTGAAGGGACACCATGCAAAATACACACTTCATGAGAATGACTAAAAAGTTAGCAAGGTAGCTTTCTCTCTCTCTCTGTCTCACCCAATGTTAAGTCCCTGGGGGGCTTTTTCAAGAGGCAACTGAAGACGCGAAATGCCTTCAAAGGAAAACAAAGAGAGTCCAGTTGCCTCTTGAAAAAACATCTTTGGGACAACCGTGACCGGGATGACTGAGAATCTCCATAGACATCCAATCTAAGGGCTCCCCTTCTATGAAGTAGCCTGAAATAAGGACGTGTCCCCGCCACTTATGGCATTCTCAAGAGCCTTTCTGGAACTGAGTGGCATATACATGGCAGGTAAAGGTAAAGGTTTCCCCTGTCCAGTTGTGCCCAACTCTAGAGGGCAGTGATCGTTTCTGTTTCTTAGCCAAGAGAGCCAGTGTTGTCCAAAAGACACTTCCATGGTCATGTGCCTAGATAACTACAAGCCGAGGTGCACAAAACGCTGTTATCTTCCCACCAAAGTGGTACCTATTCATCTACTTGCATTTGCATGCTTTCAAACTGTTAGGTGGGCAGGAGCTGGGATAAATAACAGGAGCTCACCCCGTCAAGCAGTGCTCGGGTTTTGAACTCAGGCTGTTAGTTTTCCAACTGCTGAGCTATTGTGCGTGGGCAAGCGCGCGCGCACACACACACGCGTATGTATGTATGTAAGTATGTATGTATGTATGTATGTATGTATGTATGTATGTATGTCTTTTAATGACCTTGTAATCCCTCACATAGGGATGGAATCGGGGCAACTGAATGGAGCTGAGTGTTTACTGGCCAGATGCCCTTCCTGTCGCCCATGCAGAGTTCACAGAGTTGTGCCTAGAGAGAGAAATATCTGTCGCTACATAAGATCGAACTCACAGCCTCCTGATTGTGAGGTGAGATCTCCACCTCTAGGTCACTGCACCACTCTTATACAAGGCAGAGACAGATAAATAAAGCAAATTTAAGTGGCAAACACCTAGCTCAGGCACTGGAATTAGATTCTGCTATTATAGTGAGTTATATTCTCTTATTTCTGCTATTGTTAGAAAGCCATTTTTATTATGCACCTATTTCAAAACCACCCACAGCCCAACCAGATAAGTTGATACTCCTATTGCCAATCTTTCAAATAGAAGGGGATCCAGAAGGGACCCGTTTGCTTTCTGGATCTCTGAAACAACACGAGAGACCTTAAATTCCTGTGGGTCCTGGCTAAACAGGGGGAAAGTAGGGCAAGAAGGATTTAATCGGAGCTCACCTGTATCTGGGCTGCTCGGAGGATTCAGAAGGAGACCTTTCCGGCACGGAGAGAGATGTGGAAGAGAGTGTGGTGGCTATAGAGGCGGTGGTTGCTTCTTCGAAAGAGGGAGGGGTGCAGGGAAGAAGATCAGGCCGGCCTGTTGTGCCCATGATGAAGAGAAAGAAAGAAAAAATAAAGAATACTGAGGCTGGGTAAAAAAAAAAAAAAAAAAAAAAAAACACCCTGTAATATTCCCAAATGATCCTTACACTCCTGAACAGTTCTGACCATGTTACAGAACAAGGAGTGTAACCGATTCATAATTTCATTTTTTTTTTAAAAAAAAATTGAAGCCATTTGTGGTCCTCCTTTGCGGCGGACAACACAGAGAAATGTGAAAGTCCATTTCTGCTCAGGAACAGGAGTTGAGATATTACATGGCACTTGTTTCCCAATGAACCTTACACTCCCTTGAGAGATTTTTCAGGAGCGGAGAGCAACAACAAAAAATATTTAACTAGCCTTCCAAAATGCCCAAGGTAAGGTAGGAAATTCTTCTGGTTCCGCTCCCATCTCTTTTCATGCTTCAGCGTTGCTGACTTCTAAATACCTCCCTCAAAATCCATTTGTATAAATTATCTTTTATACATGGAAATGCAAAACACAACTCCCAAGAGCAAAATGCATTGAATTAAAAAGAGAAGGGGAGAAGGAGAGGGAGAGAGGGAGGGAGAGGGAGAGAGGGAGA